GAACAGAACTATTTGCTGTCCAACTTACTTGCATTTGAAGAGCTTTTCCTGTAAATGGGAGAAAAAGACAGAATTCTTTCTGTGCTATCTGAAAGACTAAGAGAGTTAGAGAGTTTTGTGGATGATTGTTCTGTTTCAATATTAAAAAAAAAATAATAATTATTAATATGGTTATGCTTTCTCTTGTTATTAAATTCTGCAAAGGAAATAGTCATTCTATGTTACTACCTACTGGATATGGATTATTATTGACTACAAAAACTAGGATTTGTGTTCTATTTAGATATTTGCTAACAGGATGTTATTGGAAAACATTAAAGGTACTCCGTTTGCTATTCTTGTTAATGGAACCTAGTTGTAGACTGTTAGAAAAGGTTAGCAGTCATTTGGTTGAGTAGCTAAATGGTTTAATTGCTTAAAAGCAAGACAAAACAACAAAAACATTAATTAAGGAGCAAACTTACTGGCTTTGTGTGCTGGGCTTTTGCATTTTCTATTGCTATTTTTCTATCCATTAGTTTTGCAAATGACATTGAAAGAGTTGGTTTGGACGAAACACTTCTGGTTTTGCTGTATCTGATCTGAAATTTTAATAGATATTTCACTAACATCCATGTTTACCTTCATGACGGTTATGGTTCCTGTGTATTGTATGTATGTGGTTACATACATGTGGTATATGTCAGTTTTTGTGATTAAGGAATTAACTTTTTAAACAGAGCAGCTGAACTGCACCAGGAAGAAATTAGTGTGTAACTAGAGGAAAGCAGTAGACTTTCCATTTGTGTTTTGTGTCTACTTTTCAGTCCCTGAAAATAATTTTTCCTATTAGTATAAATAAGCAGCTCATATTTATGGAAGTAATGTTCAGCATTTCTAGATACTCAAAAGTTAACTTTTTTCTTTTTATTTTTCCTGCAACTAGACAAGCAGGATTCCAAGATGCTTCCAGAGTTGGTGGTTGAGGTCTGCTAATGCTACAAGTAGTCAGCTCATATCCTTCATTTCACAAGTGATTCACACTCCACTGTAAATTTAGCTAGAAGCAATACACATACACACACACACACACACAAAAAAAAAAAAAAAAAAAAAAAAAGCCTGTTGTAAGGATGTTCCAGAGTTTTGCTGCCGTGATAGCTAAAACTTGTCTACTAATTCTTCCTAAATTAGTTCATGGTCAATTTATATCCATTTACTGTATGTCCTGTGGTTTAAGTTGCTTTTCCTTTTACTAGTAATTTCATCCTCATGTATTTTTAGAGGGAAAATTATTCCTCTACAGTCCTTGCTTTTACTAAGCAAAAGGAGCCACTGACTCTTTTTTGCCCCCTTTCATCTGGTAGACTTCACATTTGTACAATTATGTGAGTAAACTTTCTTTGAACAAAAGTTGTGTGTTTCAATTAATGTCTTAACTTACATGCTTTACAGCTGGGAAATGAACTGTAGGGAAAACAGAGCTTGAAAACTGCAAACTTGATTCATCTTGTCAAGTAGTTTGCTGTTGTTTGTTTGTTTGTTTGTTTTAGAGGTTTTTTTTCAGGATATTTGGGATTATGCTCATTTATTTAGCTTGAGTATCCCTAGCCACTGTAGAAAGTTTATTAAAACTGGCAAAAGCTTTTAAGAGCTTCTGTACTCATCTAAGCTCACCAGTTGAGCCGGCTTCCTTGTATCAAGCATCATTATTGCAAAGACATACTTTTGTTTGTTCATGCTTGTGTAAGGAAAAAGGCAGGCTTTGTATCTCTGTAACGACTAAACACAGATACATACTTAATGTAGACTTCTTGTCCTGATTCACAATTGGCTTTTGGTCAGTGCTCTGCACTGTACCCCCCTCCTCTTTCATATTCTTTCTATCCACTCCTTATGCCTTCTGACGAGTAACCTCTGACGAGTAGTTATCATTTAAAAGTGCAAACAGAGGAAGGGAATGGCATATCCAGAACAGATCCATTCCTGGCAGAGGAGGAACTTCCATATGTGGCCATCTGCCTCCACTGCTGGGAGCTATCAGAGACTAGGCTGTGCCCGCAAGGTGCGAGTTTCCACTTAGGGGCTTTATTCCTCTGCATCTAGAAACTGGTCATTCAGAGCCAACGTTTTCTTTTGTCCCTACACTTACTGCAGACAGTAGAAATGACAACGTGAGATAAAAATTAACTTTCTCCTTGAAAAAAAGTGCCCCAAAGATGTCTTCAGTGTAACAAAGCATAATGAAAAGCTTTAAAAAAAAAAAGTTTGATTGTGGAAATAGATGAACATTTAATCCTTTCATTTCCCCCCCACATAAAAATGGAAATGTGCACGCAGGAAGCTTTTCCTGACAGTTTGTCATTTTTTATAGACTCATCATTCATTCATTATCACTCCTTTTCGGATGAATGGAAAGGAACTTATTTTTGACTGAAAAGTTGGAAAGCCAATAGAAGAAGAAGCAGAGACTCCATCTGCCATTGCCATTTTCCAACTTTATCCCTAGCAATCAGCTGTAGGGGAAGGAAGGAAGAAAGGAAGGAGGGAATTGAAACTATCAGAGTGGATCTGAACAAACAAATGCAAAGCACTTCAAAGGTCATGGGCTTACATTGTTACAGTCTATGGGTCTCACTTTTTCTGCCCCTCTCCATGCTCCTCGGTACCTCAAGCACTTCTCCAACATGGCTGCGCACCATGAGGCCTGCCTTTCAGAGACTGCTACAGAGCAGCTCCCCCAGTCCTCCTGCCCCACTGTGAGCCTCTTCTGGGCTGCAGGGAGCTTCTGCTCCGTGCCTGGAGCACCTCCTGCCCTCCTCCTGCACTGACCTTAGAGGTTATTGAGCATATTTATATGCTTGCATAATCCTGTTTGAGCTTAAAGCCAGGGAGGAACTGATTTTTCATCTGGAAAGTGAAGTGTCTCTCTTTAGGTACAGCTCTTCAGACTATTTTTCTGTTAGTTTTACTCAATGAAAATTGCATTTTTAATTTTTCTTCACAATTTTTCCTATCTTTGTTTAACCTGAAACTAGAAATAGAAGCTCATAAATCTAGTCAGCTTGTATTACCAGTAGCCACAGGGAAAACCAGTGATCAATCAGGACTGATTTCACAAGGACAGTAGGAGCAGTTTCATGCCTGGTCAAGGTTTTTAGGTCATATCCATCCTTCTGTTTATATTTTGTTTTGTTCAGACCAAATCTCATAAATAATAGAAATGAAAATATTTGAAATTAATGCAATTAATTCAATATTCAATTGTGCATCCAAGCAGTTGTTTATGTTTTTATATGTTTGTGAGAGAAAGAGAATGTCTATTAGAGGACCAACTGTATTTTGTTTTGTTTTGCTTTGTTTGGAGTAGAAGTATGGGAAGGAAAAAAAAAAAACAACCTTAAAATTCAAGTAATAAATTAAGAGTGCAAGTAGTAGAACATGTACTGGGCAGAAAAGATAAATTTGGTAACAATGATAAATAAAAGTGCTTTTAATCCAGGAAGTGTAATTGACGTATGCATACCAAGATAATTTCTTGTGTTTGTGTTAACCAATTACTTCTCTTAATAAGCAGAAGAGCTTATACTGGAAATACGAAGGAAGTCCCTTACAGACTGACTTGGGGCTAATGGACAGATACTGTTTCAAACGTGAGGCTACGTGTTACAGATGGAGAAAATGTATATGTTCTTTCATTCTGTTGAATTCTGACCCAGTGATCAGAAGCAAATAATACTTTTTTAAATTCCCATGAAGTCTACTGGTTTGATTCAAGAAGTTTTCCTGAGACTTTGGAGGGAAAAGTTTTTCTGATTGAAAATGGATAAAGGAAAAAGACCAACCTCTTTGCAGTTTGAAAAGCTATTATCAGAAGCATAGAGGAAGGAGAGAAAGATTCTGTAGGAAAAATAGAAATAGAGATTATAATCCTCCATCTTCCACCTTCTAAAAGAAGTACTTTTTTTTTCCTGAGTACTTTGAGGTGTGTACACAGAGTCATCTCCCACTGGATCATGTCTCAGTCCAAGCTCTAAGATAGCTAGTTATTAAGGATTTTCTTATATTTGCTTTTCTAAGGCATTGTGTATACTTCTGATCTTAAAACTTTGGGAATGCTGTAATGCTTTGAATGCTCATTTAAGCATACAGTTGTGAATTTATGATTTCCACATCACTAATTTCTCAGTACCTTCTGTATGACTTCTGTAATTTGTAATTCACAGAGATACTTGTCATAAAAGCTTTAATTAAAGCTCATGAATTATGAAACTAACAGAACTGGAAGAATTAAGAATCATTTTTGACATCTCTTAAGTTATTAAATTTGGTCAGAGCAGAAAGAAGACGTGAGAAAAAAAAAAGAATGGATGTAGATGCTTAGCCCTATCTTGGATAATCTAGTGAAATTGATCAGCAAGAACTGGTTAAGGTAATACAAAAGAAGTGTTAGGTGGTTAACTTTATTATGCATTTGAAAAAAGTCTGCTTAATTCAAGTCAAGGAGAGAAAACAAACTAAACATGAGGGACTTAAAGGTTACAAATAACTCCACCATACTCCAACCACTTTAAAAAATCATTTTATCAAATGAGTCAATTAATCTTCTTGTTTCTATCAAGCTGAAACTACTGAATGTAACAGCTTTGGTAAAGCCATATGAACATACCTTTTGTCTATGAGTTATGTTAGGCCAAAAAAATTCCAAGTGAATTGTTAGTAACATGCGAATTTATAATATTTCTCTCAGCTTATCATAGAAGCATAGAACAGTTTGGGTTGGAAGAGACCTTTAAGATCACCTAGTTCCAACTCCTTTGATATAGGCAGGGACACCTCCCTCTAGACCAGATCACAGCCCCATCCAGCCTGGCCTTGAATGTTTCCAGGGAGGGAAAACCCACAATCTCAGTTTTGTTTTTCATATATATGTTTAATTTGATGAGACAAAAAAAATATATTTTGAAATTACACTTTGAATAACCTTCCTCCCTCTCTTTTTCTCTTTCATCTGTGTGCAGAGGATTACTTCTTCAAGAGAACAACAGGTTTTCAGAGGCATTGCATTACTATAAACTGGCTATTGGTAGCAGACCCACATTAGCTTGTAAGTATTTCAGCTCAACAAACTTGCATGACATTGATTAGCATTTTAAAGGATATCTTCCTACTCTTTAATAACACTTTTTTTTTTTTCCCCACACACATTTTTTTCTTTCTGAAAGTGAAAGAAGAGATTTCACCCTTTCCAAGCTGGAAACATTGTTTTACTGTGGTGAAATTTTACAGTGGTTTTATTTACTGTGGTGAAGGGAAGAAGCAGATAGGGATTTAACACTGGACAGCACAGGTAGAAGTTAAAATGTTTCTGGCATTGTTATCTGTAGATATTTCTGCCCAAATTTATAGGCTCCTGTTATCTCTTTTCTACAGCCGGTCTCTGATTATTTTACTAAGTGTTGTAAGTGAATAATATAAATATTTTTAAGTCTTTTAATTTTTCTTTTCTTATATGGAAAAAATGGAAATAATCCATAAGGTGTTGCCCAAACTTAAGTGTTGTTCCAAAATTAAGTAAATACTTTTAAAGTGATTTTTTTTTGTAGGTGAAATATTGAATCTTCCACATGTCCATGTGTGTGTGTACACATACATATGCATAGACATATCAATATATTTTTATAAAAAAAAAGATCAAGTTTTCAACATTTCAAGCACTGACAGTATATGCTTGATACACTCCTAATAAGAGGAATGACATGGAGTGCACAGCTTAACCAGTATTCCCTTTTCACTTTCCTCAGTCTTTATAGCTTCTATTCTCCTTTCCTTGCTTCTGAACAATTACACTCTTACCTGTTCCTCTTTATAGCAGTAATTGATCTATATTATACAAAATCAAATTAGATAGTAACAGGATCTCTTTCTGATATTACTTTGAAAATATGACATTTCTTTCCATCTTCACAGCTGCCTATTTAAATACTGGCATCATCCTGATGAACCAAGGGAAGACAGAGGAAGCCAGGAGGACATTCCTAAAGTGTTCAGAGATCCCTGATGAAAATTTGAAAGATCCTCATGCTCATAAAAGCTCTGTTACTAGTTGTCTTTATAATTTAGGAAAACTTTTTCATGAACAAGGACACTATGAGGTAACACTCCAGATTTGTTACAATAGCATGCACAAATAGTGGCCCACTGTTTCCATCCAGACTGTCAAAACACGACACAGGCATTAATTGACTGAATTTCACCAAATCATGATTAGTATTCTCTGCAGAGAGTAGTTATTCTCTACAACCATGGGTGGGAAAATGTTAATTTGCAGTGTGATGTTCTGGTGTCAGAATTGGTATTATCAGTGATCACATCTGATTATGTGCTAATTCATTCTTTTTGTCTTTGTCCCTATTGCTGGGAAAAGAATTAGGCTGCTGCAGTCCAGCTGACCTAATTCATATTGGCTTTTTACTTCAAAATAGTGTGTCCATCTTTAGTTATTAAAATGCATTGTTTCCAAGAATTAAACTTAGTTGGAATAATTCAAAACTTCAGTGATTGGAAACATCCCAGTTTGTTATGTATGCTAAAATCCTAGTGCTGTTTTGAGATAATTTGGCCTAAGTGCTATAGTAAGTTGAATTTTTTATAGGTAGTTACATGGCACCCAACACAGCTATCTCATTTACACGTGACTGCTGAAATTTCTCTCCATTCTCCCTAGGAAATTTTTAAAACTGGTTCTTTGCTTGAGTTTTCACCTCTTACAGTATTTGAAAGAAAGTCATTGTCTTTGCATTGCCAAGGATACTTCAGCACAGGAGTTACACGTGGCTTTGATCCATGCAACTCTTTCTGACTGTGAGAGCTAACTTGGTTGTTTAAGATCAGACATTCACAAGGCCTACAGATTCTCTATCACCTGACTGTCGAATCCAGCCCTGTCAGATGGCAGTTACTAATTGGTTAAAGCAGGCACAGACAGCTAATACATCCATAAAGATAAGAGAACAGCAGCATATTGCCTGCATGGCTGATAGAGTGTAGAGGTAGAGTGCAATGCCTGCATGGTACAAGAGATTTTAAAAATTTAAAACATTGGGTTTCTGCCTGGTGGTCACGGCAGTCTGACCCAGGCTTGATCATATATTTAGATTTTTCAGTCACGTTTCAGTTGTCAGAAGCTGTGACTATTTGATGGGATGACGTGGAAAGCGATGCATAGCGAACAGACTGATCAGTAAGCATCCTAAGTGCTGAATGAATCATAGGTACATAATGAGGTAATTCAAAGCACAGCACATTTGTGAAGGGAAGATGGTTGTGGCATTCCTAACTATAGTCCATCTCATTCTGTGGAGCAAAATTTTGCTTGTGCTTTTGCTTATATTTTATTATTCCTTGGTGGTAGAAAATGATTTCTTTATTTTTAGGTCACTTACTGTAGCTTAGTCATCAGAAAATCCTTTGTCTACTATTTGGTATTATCCTATATTGTTTACTAGCATATAGAATTTTATATATATTCATAAGCTCACGAGTCTTCAAAGAATTTAAAGAAATTTTGATGTGGGAAAGGAGTTGTGTCAATGGAACTAATTTGATCTCTTGCCAACAAGCTTTACTGAATTTGTATAATTTTGTAAATGAAAAATGTGAAAGTTCTGTGATATTTATAATGCAGATGTGTTTTCTCTCTCTGCATCTCTTTATTTGGAGAAGACAGATTGTTTATAATTCATATGTAGAACCACTGTTGAAATTGGTCCTTTGCTAATGATTTGTCCCATGTGTGTCTCTCTCTTCAGGATGCCCTAACTGTTTACAAAGAAGCAATACAGAAAATGCCAAGGCAGTTTGCACCACAGAGTTTATACAACATGATGGGTAAGTATATTGTTACTGTGTCAAAATGAATTAGCTAATAACAACAAAATAGTTGCTTTCAGTAGATACTAGCCAAACAAGGTTCAAGAGCTTACATGCCAGTAAATGCAGTGCTGTATGAAACATGACTAGACTATCAACTGTTGGATATCTAAGAGTGCTCAGTTTTTTTTTAAATTTATTTATTTCTCTTTGAAACTGAGTTTGCATTTGCTTTATAGAAAACACAGTGGAAAGTAATCCTAATTATAACAAAATTTCATCTAATATGGTAGTATTCTTAATAAGATAGTATTCTTAATCACATCTTTACACAAAATACATTGAACGAGTGACAGGAAAAAAATGTATGTATTATTTGTACTATTCAGATCTGCAAAAAACAGGAAAGCAATTGTTCCTGAGATGTTTTAAGTGGAATTATTGTTAAAGAAGCATGCATTTCTACTAGCCCACCTCAGTTTCTGATGAGTAGATTTTGCAAGCTCTTATCTGAGAAAGAAACAGTCTTAAGATGCGTTTGAAATAGTTTGAAGTGAAGCAGTAAAAAATACATGTAGAAGCAATTAGGATCCCTCATGCCAAAAGGGTAAGGCTCTGTGTTGGTTAACACAGCTGTCAAAAGGAGGCACCACTCACTCTTCTTTACTTATTTGGAAAATTTATCTTTCAGTAGCTCCTTACAGGTTCTTGGACATGGGAAAAGAACTCTGAAACTCTGGTTGTAACTGATGCTACCTATTTGCATATCTGTAAATGCTAAAATAAGTATTTGTCACTATGACAAAGTATCTAATGTCTTTCATACAGTTCAATGCAGATTTACTTCTTCCTAAATTCTGAGCTCTACCAGGTCAATGCAAATGGCTAAAATTTGCACATGCTTTTTTTTCATTTTTATTTATCAGCATTTACTGATGGATTTGATGGGGTTATCTGCAATCATAGCTCTGTGGGAATTAAACATCTGCTTATTATTGGTGTCCTGTAGTGGCTTTTGATGTATTGCAGGGCTCCAGCAAACCCTCAGAAGTTTGATTGCCCTCTTTAGTAGGATATATATTTCATAGTTCTGATAAAAGTGCTGTCAGAAGTGCAGAAATTACAAGATGAAAACCAATGCTGTTTCCCACATCATGGTTGTTTCATTATAAGGCCTGTGTCACCCTTTTTCTTTCCCATGAATAGGTGCTCCCTTTAGAATCATAATGACCTAAAAGGTTCTTTAATATATTGCTTCTTTTTCTGTTGGTTACTTTTTTAGATTCAGGAGGTCTTTCTCAGCTTTCTTTATCCTTTCCTCAGTCCACAAAGTTCAAGTTCACTCTACTTCTGGGATTTGCATGTATTAACTCACTGAGTGACAGTGAGCACAAAGACCAGCTCTGTCCTTTGCCCAGGCTTGGCTGGTGCTACACATGCTCCCTCCACTGCTCAGTGTGCGCGCCGGGCTCCACTGCCTTTATGCAGCTGCTGACAGCCACAAATATCCTGGTGGCATAACAAGTCAGGGCCAGCTGAGATTGCCATAGCCTCTTTCAGGCTATTATGGGGCTCTGTAAAGTACAGCTTATGCTGTACGTGGTGTATATTTGTATTTTGGTTGCTGTTGTGATTGCAGCTTTTGCAGAGAAACCAGGACTTGCTTCACGTTCGTTTCTGAGGTGTGGCTTATTGGCTCTATTGCAGAGGCAGTCTGAGAGGCTAGGTGAAGAGCCAGATGGTGACTTCAACTGTGCTCAGTGCAGCTATGCTAACAGCCGGTTTGTTTAAAGCTGTCCTGGGTGTGTCCACATCAACACTCATACTGCAGTTAGACAAATTGAATCAGACTGTTCTCTCCTGTCCGTAACAGTGTAAAGGTCAGCTGGAATGTCAGAACTGGGTAACTGTGCTGGGTTTGTCCTGTGGAAAGAAAAGATACCTCTGGGGAGTAATTTAGCCCACCTGTCCTAAACACCTATTTTAGTTTACATGAAAAATCCTCTGTAAGCATACTTCTTCTGTAAAAGGAGCTGAGATGGCTGGCTTAGAATTGCTAGATTGAGTTGGGTGAGATAAATCCCAAACACCAAGTCAGTCACCTCTTTGCATCGAAAGTGACAGGAGAACAAGGCGAACACATCCATTATCAGGAGTGCATCTGCTCTGCAGTTCATACAGTGCCACTGGGTACCAGAGAGCTGACTAGATTGTTTATTTCTGTTTTGATATTCAAGACAAAGTTATAAACACTCTCACCATAACACTACCTTTGATATACAGCTTTACATAAATTTGTCTGGCTACTGCTTGCCTTTAATTAGGAGACTTTGAGGCAGTGAGATAGGCCAGTGCTGTCTCATGTGCTTGGTGCATGAAGCTGTCTCTGATCTGTGCCCATTCACTGTGTGCTGAGGAGAAGGAGGAGCAGCTGGAGTGTGCTCCCTACCTGTGCAGGAAGGAAGGATCCTTCCCTGTCAAGACATGTGGAGAGGGTCTTCATAGCTTATCATGGAAGCGAAGAGTAGATACAGTTTGAGATTATGTATCTGCTGTAGTAACTGTTATGATTGATGTATTCCAAGTATCTGGCAGTAGCTCTGCTTGTTTCAGTGTCAGCATGTGATCTAAGAAAACAGTACTTCCTTTAATTTCTAATAACTAGTTGATTATTTCATTGAAGATTTTATGAAGGCTTTTTTCCATGTATAATGTAGATAAAATACATGAAGGAAAATAAACAGAAGATGAACTGTTTGAATGAATCAGGTTTTGAGCTCCAGCACTCCAAGTGCGGCAGCATTAGCACTCCAGTAGCGTTAAGCCTTTACACCACCTGCTTTCCCTGTTTGTCTTACAGTTCTTTTCCTGCACTTGCCTCTATTGGCCTTTTGCTCTGCCAGGCCCAGGGACTCATTCCTCTAGTGTGCCAATCTGTCCAGCTGACTCATTCTTTAAAACTCAAACTAACTTCCCTGTTAAAAGAGGAAAAAATACTGGGCTTCAAGAAGCAAACCATCCGTTTGATTTTACATTTTAATCATTACACAAAAGGCCAGAAGACCTGCATTACTATTCTAAGTTTGTGCATATGAAAAGTTGCAGAGTAGATTTTGGTCTCCTGTTGCTGTGATTTATTTTGCCAGGTGTGCAACAAGTCAGCTAAAGAAACCATATGTTTCTCTGGCTTTGTACCAAGAAGTAAAACCTTTTTCTTTTTTTTTTTTTTAATTTGAAGAACTCCGAACAGCTAAAAATTAAACTCTAAAACTAGAAACAAAATAATTATTCAACAGGCTGTGTAGGGTTGGCTCGATATTTATTTTCTCTATGTCATATTTCTTTGATGTAAATTAAAAAGTACGTACTAAGGTTACACAGATTAATTTGTTTGGCATGACAGCATGCACTACAAAGGCCAGAGTCCAGCTCAGCTGCATTAAATAGGTAATATATTTTGTTTAAAGTTTCAATTAAAACCTAGGGTCAAAAGATAAAATAGTCCCTGTGGGATCTTGAACACTTTAATGCCAATATTAGGATTGCTTAAGGATCAGCCTTTGCTCTCGATGTCTTTTGCATTCTTGAAATCTGATATTGTACAGTTGATTGTATTACATTGCTTTTAAAACCACGCTGGCCCACCTGCTACAGTAATTTGTACTCCTGCCAGTGAATTGGTGTGAGGTGGGGCATTAAAGCTTTATTTTAATATTGAAAACAACAACAGAGATGCTGGAGTGGTGGTGTTCAGGTTTAAGCTGGCAAGATAAAGTCATAAAGATGCTTATCATAAAGATGATAAGAAGTCATAAATGCTGTGATCATACTTCATCTGCTCTTGCTGACTAATGTCTGAATGTCTATTTTCAAGTGCATTTCATGCAAAGTTTTTCAGACCTTTTTGTATGAGAGAAATGCAAGTTATAAAAGAAGCTGGCATTGCAGGAGTGAATATGGTTAATGATGTGCAGTTTAGATTTCTCCTTGCTAATGTGCTACATTGCACATGGACAGAAAACAAATCATACTATAGCGAAAGCCAGGTACAGAAAAGGAAAGGGGAGCCAAATTGTACATCTGGTGCAGAAGTTTGCATCATAAGCATGGAGGCTTAGCATGTAGAGAGATTTTTTGTGTTGATGATTGTAACATAGCTATCTATTTAATTATGCTTTTAAGTGGATGTGGCTGTTTGTACAAACCTGTTAATATTGTTAAGGTTCCTATCCTATTTGCCCCCCACTCCCACTAAATGCTTTTTTTATTGAATTACTTTTAAATGTTGTTCAGTACTCCAAGAAACACTTTTGTTGGTGTAGTTTTACAGTTCATACTGTGCAAGGCTTACTTTTTAAGAGCCAAAGATGATTAAGCTGTGAAATGGATATCCCATGTCATATCTTGTGCAGAGTGTGGTACCTCCACTTGTCTAAGCTCCAACCATCAGTGCACTTACTATGTTCCTCTATAAAGCTTTGCTGGTAATTGCTTGCTAAAGGTACATTGTGAAAACTTTTTTTCCTGTTAGATTAACTTCGTTGTAAAAAAAGGATTTTTTTTATTTCATATGTTTGTTTTGTTGGATGATCTAGAATAAGAATGGAGTTGACTCCAGTAGTAAGAAGCGTAAAAGATTTTGTTCCCTTCTCCCCCTTCAAACCCCATCCTAACTGTACCCAAACTTTGCAGACCTCTATAGTTCACATTTGCTGCTCAAAACTGTATGTAGATCTCTGGGCTGATTGACCCTTTTCCTGTTTTTTCACTTTATTCATGTGAAGGATTCAAACTGGGTATGAAAGTTACTGCACTGAGTTGCTGAGGGTACTGTGGATGCAGCATTTGAGACCAGTTTGGGTTTGTTGGTTTTTTTTTTCAGGTTCTCAGATTTTCTTAGTTTTTTCTCTTTTTAGCCATTGAACTATAATTTCTTGTGAAATGTTTTTATTTTCTTAGACAAATTTCTGAAAAGGCCATGAGTCTAAGCCTGTCATGTATTTGTATTTTCAACATACAGGATTTTGTATGAAAAGAGGCATTTGTAGACTAAAAATATAATCTAGCGCTGAAACTGGACTACAGGAATACCAGTTAGGTGTGATTCTAATGGAAAGTATTTCTATAAAGAGCATTTAAAAACAAACAAACAAACAACTGTTCTGGTAGAATGTCTATGGTATACTGACAAAAAAAATAAAATAATAATGAAGAGTACAATCACTAGTTCAGTTATGAATTCTTGGTCAGTTTGTACCCTTGCAGTTTACTGCTGGTTGCACATCTGTTGGAAAATGAAAATGAGCTTGTCTGTCTCAGGTGAGCTCAGTGCTGCCATTTCTGTCAATATTTTCCATTCTGTGGAAGTCTTTGTGTAACAGGAAACAGCTGTGCTAAGTCCATGCTGTTTTGTGGTGCAACTATTTTGTTTTTCCCTTTGTTTATATAAGTTTTCCACATCAGGTATTTTTTTTTTTTTTCTAAAAGTAGATTACTGGTCTAATTAAATCAGATCAAAGGCTTTGCTTTGGCTAATTGAGGCCTGGAAGAATCTGCTCAAAGTGAATGTGGATTGGCTCCTATCCATCAAAAACCCGCTTAAAATACAGTGCATTTCTTGAAATCTTCAAGGAGATTATTCTCTGAAAGAAAAAAAAAAATACAATATGCTTAGTCTATGCAGATTGTGATGCTCATTAAGCTCACACGCTTCAGCTGTTTCAGAGAGGATGTGCATGCACTGCATATTTATCACCAAGACTGAATCTCTTGTAGTGTATCCTACACATCAATACACTATAGCAAGCTATGCTCCTAGATTTATTATGTTATTGTATGCACTGATACCTAAGGGAAAAAAAAGAAGGAAATCATATATGCTGTGCATTTATGGTAAGCACATCTGCAGCCTTAATTTGCACAAGAGGGCTGTGCAGCTGCATTGGGAAGGACACAGATTCATTATGGTGTTGCAGTACATAGGAGCAGAGGCTTCTATCTTTTTTCTAAGACCACCTCTTTATATTCCTAATTCAAAGAAATTATGGAAAAATGAAATTTAAATTGTGACTAAAGTTTCATAGGAGAGCTTTTCCTTTCTACAGTGCACCTCTGTCTTCTTTGCTGTTTTGAGTTCTACTCTGTTCTGGCCTTTTCTATGTTACAGTTTTACCATCTAGATATTTCAGTGGCAGATAATTACACGTACAAGGATGATACAAAGCATATTTACCCTGCATGTCTCCTTCACAGAGAGATTTGTTTTCAGTTGTCTTTATAGCCATTATCTCTTGAGGTCCTAAGAGAAGAACTACAGAAAAATTTATGTTCTTAATCTGAAACTGTGAGTATGTGGAACCTAAAGAAGCACAGTGCTTTTGCAGAAGCTTTTGCTCTTGCAGCATGGCTTCACTGTATTCATTGATAAGTCTGCTGTGTTCCCTGCAAACAGATGGCTTTGGCTTGGGTTTTGTAGAGGTCTGGCTGCTGTGGAACTGAAAGAATTACATTATCTATAATGAACCAAGCAAATCAGAAGTCAGCATGTGGGAGGTTAATCTAGAACGACATAGATAGAAAAGGAAAAAAAAAATCTTTCTTCTGGAAAGAAAGATGCTTTCATGCAAATGGTTCTTAATTAACAATATGCAGTATATACTAAACCTACCATGTGTTTTCTAATTGGAAGCTTTGCATTAAACTTGTATTACATTTCATTATCAAGTATAAAGTCAATGGTTCTGAGGAAACAGGTGGTAGCAAACTGATTCTCTCTTACTAGTTAATATAAATATTTAATGTTTTCTACTATTGTTATTACTTATTTACTCTTAATTAATGTACCCAGGGATAATTTTAGCATTTGTTGTTCATGCTGTATTTTTAGAGATGATCTTTCAGTCCCAAAGAACCTGGAGAAATATAGAAAATTTGCTTACATATATATATATATATATATACACACACGCTTGATTTCTTGACTTTGTTTTGTGCATACTAAGATATATTATGCATAATGTTATGTTACTTATTTGTGAGTGTCAGCATAATGGGGAAAAAACATTACCATGTTGTTAATATCTCTGAATTTGATCACAGGTTTTGGGGAGCATTCATATTGTGCTTGCTGTTGCTTTTTCCCCAGCTTGGACGTTTTTTGGTTTTGGTTTGATTTGGGCTCTTCTGGAGTTGTTCTTCTAGCTTGGCCAGCAAAACTCTATTGGACCAGCAATAGAGTGAGTTGGGTACTGCTGGAGCTGAAACATCAGCTACTTCTGTATGCAATCAGATATCGAGAATAGGATATGAATATGGAATGCTATGTAGACCCTTCAATTAGTAATCCTGGTCTACTGGATGTACAGACCTGCACCCTTTTTTGGAAACATTCTATTTCCTGATAAAATTCATGTTGGCCTTTCTTAGCCTTGGATAGTACAAATGTTAGAATTTGCACTATCCAAGGCTAAGGGATTTTTTAATAAAAAACTAATTTTTAATAAAAGACTAATTCCAATATAGGAAATGGTGATAGCCGATAACCAGTTCTAAATCACCCAAAAAAGGGCAATGGCTGTAACTCAGTTAAAGAAAGAAAGATTTGCTTATCTGTCCCAAGGATCAGGGCTCACCAAATACTCCAGAAAGAGGCATCTCCAGGTAGAGATCCTTCCCACATAGCTGCCAGCCCTTAAATGAGACTTAGGGAGGGGAAGAACTGGATTCCACCCCTTCTGGTCCCACAGGTGCATTGCTTTTACATGTGCACCCAGGACTGGCTGTGTCCCTTCACCAGGTGCTCAATCATTGGTTTAGGCTGTGACAGCAATTCCCATACATCTGGAAACTCAAACTTCTGCCACATTTCACCAAGGATTCCTGTGTTTTATGACAAATATAGGAAAAAAAAATCTAGTGATGAAATCCGCACACTCAAGTGGGCATTTTCAGTTGTTCAGTTGGGAACGGGCACCTAGAGCTATATACACAGCAAAAGAGCTGTGTAATTGTAGAATCATAGAAGTGTAATTGTAGAATCATAGAATTGCTTGAGTTGGAAGGGACCTCAAGGATCGAGTTCCAACCCCCCTGCCAGAGGCAGGGTTGCCAGCCACTAGGTCACATACTAGATCAGATTGCCCAGTATCCCATCCAACCTAGTCTCCAGAGAGGGCATCCACAACCTCTCTGGGCAATCTGTTCCAGCACCTCACTGCTCTCTCAGTGAACAACTTCCCCCTGACATCTAATCTGAATCTCCCTTCGTTTAGTTTAAAACCATTCTCCTTTGTCCTATCACCATTTACCAATGTAAAAAGTTGATTTCCCTCATCATTGTAAACTCCCTTTAAATACTGGAAGGCTACAATGATGTCTTCTCACAGCCTTCTCTTTTGTAGGCTGAACAAGCCCAGTTCCTTCAGCCTATATTCATAAGAGAGTTTGCACCAGCCCTTGGATCATTTCTGTGGCCCTCCTCTGGACCCTCTCCAAAAGGGGGAGATGCAGAGAACTAATTTGAAAGCTGCTTTTCTTCACCACTATGTACTTGTTGATACTGCTTATTTCCAACCTTCAAGAATTGTTTCTTAGCTTTGCCCTCCCAGTATAGTAAATCTTTTCTGAGAAACTTAAGGACTGCAATCATCTATACCACAATATGTCCTTCTGACATCCTGTTCTTCAACATTGCCTGCCTCAGCCTCTCATAGTAAAGGGTTTTATTTTGACAAAAAGTCCAACTCAGATCTTTCCATATGCAACTTTTAGCATTTTAAAATTTTAAAATTTTAAAATTAGAATTCTGTATTCTAGTTTAATATTTTTGTGGCAGATGACCTAATTTGACTACCTATGGAGATTAGGCTTCTTTGTATTGTTCTTTCCCTCCAAAATGGTTTCAGGACTGCTTTCTTAACATTACTTTTTTTTTTTTTTTTTTTTTTTTTTTTTTTTAAAGTCTATATTCTTGATGTGATATGGTTAATTGCAAACTCATTCTATATTATTCCTTCTACTCCCTGCTCTGCAATGTAGACTTATGGCAAGAAGTAACTTTTCTGTAGCAGATGTGATAAAAATTCTGTTAGAGACTTATAACTGAAACTTGGCAGTTGGAGCTACCTCTTGCAATTCTATTACAAGGCTTCCTAAACCACACTTTTTCAGCCTTAGTGAGGCCATAACTTAAAAGTCTCAGTGAGACTGTTTACTATTATTTTTAATTGCCGACATTCAAAGCACGTCACACTTTCCAAGATCTTTGCCTATTTAGTAAATAAAGAAAATTATAAATGAGATAATAAATCTATGGGAAACTTAAAAACGTTGGGGATATTCTCACTAGCATTTGTTTGACCCTGTAGGAGAAGCCTATATGAGAATGAGCCGTCTGCCAGAAGCAGAGCACTGGTATGTGGAGTCACTGCGATCCAAGAGCGACCACATCCCTGCACATCTCACCTATGGAAAGCTTCTGGCTCTGACGGTGAGTTACTCAGCAGCTCCTGGGAGTCTTTTGAGTAGCTGAAGTGAAGGGACAGAAAGACTTCGGCCTGAAAATTACTGCAGTGTTTCAGCTGTGATTTTTAGTGAAGGAATTTGATTGTGTATGGATTGTTTTGTTTTTGTGTTTTGTTTTTTTTTTTTAATCCGTTCCTGAACTATTACAACCTCTTTGTGAAAAGAAAGCAGTTATCAAAGAATTGAAACTTCATAATATTTTATTTAAAATGCCTTCTTTATAAATAATTAGGTCATAAGTAATGTTATTAAAAAATATTTAGTGCTTGACCCAGGTTTGTTGTGGCAATCTATGGCAAACATATGGATTTGCATATTACATGTCTCATGCTTTGAATTTACACTTCTTCAGGAGTATCTCTTTGAGCTTATGAATAGAAATAATCAACTCCTGTCTGAAAGCTACTTCTAACAATCAGAAGAGTTTGACTTTTAATCTCTTCAAAATTTACTCTGCGTTTTGAGTACAGAGAAACTTTTATCTCCAGCTAAACTAGACCCATAATAGAACACACAGTGCCAGTCAACCTTGATTTTCACAGTTTTTAGAGATTAAAAGAATTTTCTATTCTTCTCACTAAATTGGTCCTGTTTTGCTTGTTTCCCAATTCACATTGCTGTTCGTTGGTTTTTTTTTTCTGGGAATATCATCTTTCCTTTCTTTTATTCCACATTTGCTTTCATTGTTTGCCCCAGTAGCTCCATATTCCCTTTCTGTGCTCTACTGATATGCCTTTATAACTTCTTCAATCGTTATGCTTCAGCCTGATTGTTTTTCTCAAATTTTCACTAGCCATAAGCTTTTCCTCTGACCTTGTTATTTCTTGCCCAGCCTTTAATGTGTCCTTGGACACAGGGTAGAATTCAAGTTAAGAAAAATAGTTCAGAATTAATTTTGGCTGATCCATTGCTATTAGCACAGAAGACTTCTACCTGAGCAACAAGTGGCAACATAAATAGAAAGAATTAAAAATGGTTCTGTGTTGTCACATGATGTCCTGTAGAGAGTTTGGTAAAAGCTGTCTGGATTAGAGTTTTCAACTTCTACTGGAAGGCAAGCTGTTAGTGTTATATCCCCACTGCATGTCCATCTCAGGATCTGGAAAGGCATTTTTACTACGTATTATTAACATTTCCAGATCCAGGTAAAATTTTGCAGATATTCTTAAATGTGTGCACTTACTGATTACCTTCCTCTGGAACACAAATATAAGTAGGTTATACAGCAAAATTTCCTAATTATTGGCTTCTTTTTAGATCTTTGATATAGAAATTCCAATGCATTAGAATTACTGTGGGGAAAGAGTTTTCTTAGTTAAAATCCATATCTTTCTCTCTTTGTCTCTTTTCTTTCTTGTACTTTGTACTTCTTGTCAATTCTGTGCATTTTCTGAACTGCTGAATATATGAAATATAGGAACTATTAAGGAAAATCTTGCGGTTAGTCTGGGAAAAAAATCTCAGTTTTCTTCAAAGTAACAAGGTCTCAGAATCTGATAACTCCTAAAAAACATTGTGTGCCATTAAAAAGAAATTCTGAATTTTGTCCCCTCGTTAGGAATGTTCAGTTATTGGTTTAAACATAAGTGGCATACCCAAACTATGGAAAGGAAGTGATGAACTGTGTACATACATAAAGTAGAATTGAGCTGTTTACTTTTCTTCAGGGATATTGTCTCTTTTAAGGGACAAAGTACTTATGAGGTGGATTTTGTCTTGAGGATTTGAACTGTGCTTGTGAAAGAATGTGTCTTATTAGCAAAAAGGACAGGACTTATAAAGCTTTGAAGTCCATTTTAATAACAGCAGCATAGGCTGAAAAATTGTTACTGATGTCTGTCAGACCTGTAGTAATGTCTTTATAAACACAAGAAAGCACACTGATGTCAATGTAATTAAAGGTAGTGGAAATTTTTTAAGGTGGATATTTCATTCATGAAAAAATAATGTTGGTTTGTCTTTTATGTGGTGGAATTTGGTATTTTTTTCCTTTTTATTGTTTTGTTTTGTTTTTGTTTTGTTTTGTTTTGTTTCTTTGAGTTACAAAGCCTGAAAAGACCTTCAATAAGAAGTTGGATCATGGAGAGATTTGGCAGTAGAATATGAATTTTTGTGTCCATATTGGTCGCTTGTCCCTAATCAGTTTTGCAGTCTACCATCTGCTCAATGATTCATATTAAATGAGTTTTGACTAGTCTCTAATACTCTAGCCTGTACTAGTTCTAGTTCCTATCACAAATATATGATGCCATAATTGACATCCTTCCTAGAAGTCTGCATGGACTTCCTTGGGATTCAGTACTGTTAAGAACTACTCCCTTTGGTGTAGTTATTTTAGTCCATACTGAAACAGAGGTACCACTGTGATTTATTCTTCACTTAAACTTTGCTACCTAGGCTTCTGGTCATTTATTCACATCACAGCTGGTGTATTTATGAGAGAGAAAATCCTACTTCAGTAAGTTTTCAGATGTTAGAAGAGAGATGGCTTATAGGCTTGTTTCTCCTCATCTGTCATCTGGTTTTTTGGAACTAAACTTTCAGAGTTTGTGCAATCCTTTGTCTAAGTGCTGAAACCAAACTATTGATAACACTTCTCTGTCTCTTTCCCAGGAGAGAAAGGTGAGATGGCTGATAAAGTGAGGGATGGGAGTGGGTGCTAATATAGATAGAAAATTCTTCTCAGTCAGTAAAATTGAGGGATGAGGGGTGAGAGGAGGATAGTTTCAGACAAGTTCCAAAGTTCCAGCCAAAGGCAATTGTACTATTAAAAAAGAAAAAAAAAAGGAAAAGAAAGAAAGAAAGAAAAAAAAGCAGTAAGATCTAACCCGTGAAGTTCACAAGTTAAGCTGTTTTAATTCCTGTCTTAAATTCTAATAAAGTGGCTTAATTTAGTGTTTTTCCTTCTTAAGTCTGCTGCCAGTATTAATGCTTACTGAGAGCAGCATGGCATGATTCATTTATTCTCTTAGTGCCAATCCTGATACCTGGGCCAGCTTGTACCTTCTGAGTCTTTTTACCTTCCAGTGAGGAAATTTGAGGCTGACCGATGCTGAGTGTGTAGATTGTAGATTGTAAAACTGCTTGTTCATTATAGCAGGCTCTTGCTTCCTGGCTTTCAGCAAAAGTTTGTCACGTTCATAAACAGGGACACTGAGACAAATGTACATTCTAGAATGTAATCCATTGTTTTATTCATGTTATCTGGCCTTGATTCTGTCAAACACAAGCTAGCATCTCTGCACGTGAAAAAGTATGTTTTCTAAATTCACAGTTACCTGCCATTTCTTTTTTTCTTTTTTTCTTTTCTTTTCTTGTAATAATGGATTCTGCAGCACACATAAAATAAAGACAGTATATACCAGATCAGTTTAGTAGCTTAACAATAAATTAAAAAAAAAGTGTACTTTTCATTCCAACTTAAGCAATAATCATCATGGACAATATTGTCTATTAAGTCTACTTTGATCTGGTAATTAAATAAAGTGATATCTCAAGGACTTTTTTAAGTTGAATTTTTCTATGATTTTATGTAACTTTTGTTTTAGTGCTGAAGATAGTTCCAATTTACTGAAATATATTGTTCTGAATGAAGTCCCAAGTATACACGTAATTCAAAAGCTTATTATTCTCTTTTATTGAAAAGAAATTTCAGAAGAAGATTTGCTTCTACCAGAATGGGTTACATTTTGTAAAGTAATGAATTGCATCATTTTTACAGTTTTAAAAAGATAAATCACAATTCATCCACTGTGATAAAATTAAAATGATTGCAATTATGCTGTGAATGACAGATACTAATTCATGTCATCATCTCTATCCATTTTCATGTAGCTAATGTTGCTGCTGCTCCAAAGGGCAATTTAAATTTTAAACTTGTTTTTCATGAGAGATTAAATGAACAACAGCAAGCAAAAGCATACTCTATGTATTTTCTTTACTTTTGCTAATTCTCATGCTTTTCTATATGCTCACTATGAGCACATAAATTTATAAATGATTTCATAAGCTTCCATATAGTCCAGAAAGTCTTAAAAGACAACATGATGTTAGCTCTGTATGAGTTTCTCTATCCTGCAGATGAATGTTACTGAAAACCTGAGTGTTAATCAGCAGTTTGTTTATTTCTGGAAATGATTTAACAAATAGTTTGAAATGTACTTATTCACGGCGTACAGGCAATTTGTGAAGTATTTTTTTTTTTTCTTTTGAGGTTAGAATTATGGGAAAATTGATAGTATAAGGTGTTACAAGCCCAATTTCTAACAGGTCATCAGACAAACCTGAAGAAACAATATTTTCTTCTGTAAAGGCTACATAGTTTTTTGCACACATGTATCTGAAAATGTGGACTGATGCAAAATCAAGGAAACCCAATAAAAGTAAAACATGAAATAAAAATCCAAGTAAAACCAGCTTCCCTTCAACACCTCTGAAAACCTGCTGATGGTTGCTTCTTGTCCAGCAATAATAATTTGAAATGTTAGATGTAGCATTTCTGCACAAAATTGTTCTCATTTAAGCATACTTTATGAATAACTGTAAAGATACATGAAAATCAAAATACATTCTTCAGCTTGTTATAACTGGAATTTACATTTTAATATAAACTATATGCACAGAATGCAAAGTGCACGTGCAAACACACACACACATACATGCACACACCGAGGTGTTAATTTGTCATTGACTCTTGAAATACCTAAATGGTGTACCTAAGTTTAGTGCAAATGCATGTCTCTATTCCTGTTCACTTTTCTGGATACAAGAAATGATAGATGGACTTCCGTTGTACATGCAGAAAATAACAACTTAAGGCTCAAAGGAATGTCTAATGAATGTATAGTCTTACTGCCTGGTATTATAAGTCACAGATATTTCATAAACCATATATTGGACAATACTATATGTTTATATCTGAAAATTACAGTTCACTAGGCTACAATTTTCCTGAAAATATATTAG